TTAATAGACGCCCCCAAGCCAAGCGCTCTCTCTGCACCCATTAGATCAGTAGGTCCTGGCTGGGAAGCGCAGCACATTTACAATCGCATCTCAATATTGTTCTCTTTCTGTCTGTCCAAATAACTGTTTCACCCGCCGTGCCCCTGTCAGCTTAGCCGGTTTACAAATGCGGCTCAAAAACAAGTTAGTTATATGGAGAAACATGTAAATGCAATGGAAAGTGTTGACTCGGAACCTTGTAAAGTACATTTAATTTGCTCTCGACGTTGGGGTTGTGTGGTCGCGCTTCAGTTTCAGTTATACGTAGTGATAATGATACAGATTATGTAATATGCTAACGACTTAACTTTGGCATTCAGAAACAATATTGACATTAATGTATTACTGTAACTAGAGGCGACAGAGCTCGGGTGACTATTGGACGTTTTGCAACCTCATGGTGGATGTGGAAGTCAGTAAGTAACCTTGTATGAACTGTTTGTAATCATTTAAAGTGTTTGCATGTAAGTTTAGCATTGTAACAAGTATAGCATAGCCTACATTTTGTCTTAAGATTAGAATACCTTTCAGCAAACCCTTGGAAGCTCAATGGTTTTGTCCCACATTCCCGTTTTACAATAGCACTGTATTATAAATGCAAATGTATCCATTTCAAGACGCATTGCGAGATTTGTGCATATTCTTCGTTTGATGGAAATTCATATTTTTACATTTGAAATTTCCTTATTCCAACTTTTCCGACATTACGACTTGAGCGCCTCCTCGCCTGTAACACTTTGTCTCAGCTGCCTTCTCCATCTATTTTTACTGGCACACTTTGAATACTCATTCCCCATGCAAGATGTCTCATTAAACAACTTCAAAAAGTCAAAGTTTGGCTGTTTCCATCTCTGTTCCCATTTGCCTCTTTGCCTCTCGTCTGTGCCCTGTTTTTTTTCTCGCTGCTTTTGTCTACGCGACTCTGTGTACACACGTTCAGCCGAGACATGGCGGAAAAGGGAGAAAAAAGAAAAACGAAGGAAAAGAAAAAGGCCTGGGAACAAAACGTGTGGGTGTACTGCGAACGGAAGAAAAGCCTCCAACTCTCCTCTCTTTGCCAGCGTCTGCCATTAGGGTGTCAGTGGCAGAGTGAATTTATTTGCCGCGCGGTTACTGGGCTAATGATTGATGTTGCCCCAGCAAACAGTAAACCAATTAGAAGGCTGATGTAACGTCATTTTAAAAGCGTCCTAATCGCGTTGCTCTTGAACCTGGGACCCGGGCCTTTCCCTAATGAAGATTTATACTGGATCAAAGGAGAGCCTAACGCCATTAACAATAGATTGTATTCCACCAAAAATCACATTAGAACTTCTCTGAGCTCCCCTCCTCCCCTACACACACTGCAGCCTCCCATCAGACTTTGGCTAAATATATCTGCTGATTACAAACACAGGAACTTCAAGCTGGGGAGCGAGGCACAGATGGATGGATAGAGGTTGAGATCGAATATACTGCACAAATGCTCAATGTCAATGTTCCATATTCCAATTACCACGTAAACTCAAATTTATCCAGGTCTGTGGCGTTCTAATCAATACTTTGTTCAGATGTCTTAAAGTGGATCCTTCAAGGTAAAGGAATTATCCCTCAATGGAGACAAGCAACTGGTGGCCCCAAAGTTTTTTGTTTTGGCCAAAGCAAGTTCCCACAGATTATACCCCCAATATAGCGTTAAATGAGAACAAAATGTTTTCTCATCACATTTATTATTTTGTATAGAAAGTTTTCCATATAAAATTATGTTGTAAAATATTTGTATTGTTCCACGAGGCTGATAAGCTACTTACAATACATACTTTTTTAAAAGATTCCCCGGGAGCCTGTGACTGAAGACTGATTTTAAAAGTTGGGAGTTTGTCTTTGACTTTTTGATTTTGACACGTTCTAAAATGTGTTTGATTTTGATTGAAATAACATGTCAAGCTTTTCCACTGTTGTCCCAGATAGATGCCATTCATTCATTTTCATCCCCTTTTTTTGTCAATATCTGGGTCGGAGGGTGGCAGCGGGGGTAAAGGTTAAGTGTCTTGCCACTGTCGCTTCCCAGATAGATGTAATATTTAAACAACTCAAAAGACACAGATCTTCAGTATGAAAAAGCCACCAGGGGATACAAAACACCAGAATTGAATATCCAAACTACTTTTTCTGATTAACAATAAAATCTGCAACAGTAAGCCAATGCATAGCCCAAAATATGCTTTTATGGAAATTTTCCCACCACAGCAACTCCAAGGACCAGATTCATTTCATTTTTTTCACTTCTCGGCTGCCATTCTGAAGCGTCAATCTTTGTAATTCACTTCCCTGTCAGTAGTTGTAGTCATTCGCTCAATCAGTGCTCTGTCTGTAATGAGAAATAGTTACAAGCTGCTGATACAAGCACACCTGCCCACTAACAACCATCAAGAGAGCAACCATTGATGGAGGAAAGAGCTTAGGCCGAGGGAAAATAACTAGTTTGTCTATGCTAGGGTGATCCTCCCGCTGGCACTTAAAATTCATCTTGCCCTTACCTTTCTCTTTCTGCCACAATATTAATGTCATATGGAAAATAAGTACCAACACACCTACCCGACGCAGCCACCGTGCTCCCGGCTCGGAGCAGAGGTTGCGTTAACTTGCATCATTGTTTTTTCAGCACGAGGTGACAAAGGTGGGAAGGTTGCTTTTTAAATGCAATCCATTAACACACATAACCGCACGCTCATAATACAATTTCTGTTATGAGGAGAGCAAAACAAAAGCCGTGGAAACAAAGGAGCTGTTCTTTATTGTTCTGTCGTGTGAAACCGCTGGGATTTTTATGCATACAAATTTGACTCATTTTTATTCAGGGTCATGCATACTCTAGTAGGTTGTAAAGTTTGCATTACGGTAAAGGAGAGACAAAAGAATGGAGTTTTAATGCGCAAGGCTGAAAGTTTGTTTTTGATGCTTATTATGCTGTATTTACATCAAGATCTGAGTGTGCTTTCAGCTTTTTACTGACCCTCACAAGGGAATTTTTTTCACATATCCAACTCCAAAAGTTTTGTAAATCTACTTAAAACCAAGAAAAGAAACCAGGGAGGAGATGTGACGATTAAGAAAGAGCCATGTGTCCTGTGGGAAACACTGCACACCCATTGCAGCAGGATATGCCTACAAAGTATATCCTGGCAGTTCATTCAAACAAAACAAGCCTCAAATCTTACAAAGAAAAACCATTGCAAGCTGAGTTGACCAATAACAACAACATGATTGCATACATTTATAGATAGAAGTTTGTTTCATGCTTGAGGAAAACAGCACTCAGAGTAATAAAAGTATATAAAAAAATTATCTTAAAATCACTTATAAAGTATGATATGAAATGCAAGTGTAAAATTTTGAGTGATCCGTCACTGGTGTAAAGCTAATGACCACTTATTATAGCGCTGAGCTGAATGTGTTCTTATAATAGTCGACTATAAACACGCAAGATTAAACAAAAAATGCGAACAATTACGTAAATTATAGTCACTCTCTCCCTGTGAAACCATATGCATTATGAAGCACCATTTCTGCTGTATGATTTATACCTCTGTGGTAATTGTACATCCAATTACGATCCATTATCCTCTTTATAGCACCAAATGACTGCTTTTTGGTTTGGTTCCCAGATTCTCACGGCATCGGAGGAACAAAACAAGAACAAGTTTTTCAGCTTGTGGAAGTTAAAATGACGCAGAAATGCAGATGGTGATTTGATACAAGGGGGGAAAAATGGACGTGTGTAGACTGGGCAAGCAAAGAACGTATTATGAGAATGGATGCTAACCTGCTATCTCAACGTAGCATAATAGGGAAATGCTCATGGATAGTTTTTCTCCATCTGGCTTCGGCTCCCGTTCACTTACATTGGAAAGTAAACTCCCCTTACTCCAATTTGGGCTTAAACACCTGTGGAATGTGGTTCTGTATTATCCTGGTGTTTAAATGCTGATATTGGGGCGACAGTAGCTCAGTTGGTAGAGCATTGGCCTTTAGGCCTGAAGGTCGTGGGTTCAATTCCCACCTCTACACCTTCTCCACCGACTCCCACTGATGACTGCTGTCGTTGTGTCCTTGGGCAAGACACTTAACCCCACTTTGCCCAAAGCCCCCACTGAAAGATCAAGGCTATGCTCACACTCAGAGAGCAGCCGTCCTCCTGTGGACTCACCACCTGCAGAAGATCAGTGAGGGGCTGGTGCTATGAGACCCTGACCCAGAAATGGATGAAAGGGTAGAAAATGGATGGATGGATGGATGGATTGTCTTTAATGAGCCCAAACAACCAACCAATCAGGGTGCCTTCTATCCAAGGGAGTATGATCATGATCAAAGTTGGTGGGGATATACTGCGGCATTGAGGTACACCGACTAAACTAGAAATAGCCACAGATGTCCTGTCTTGTGTTGCCTTTTTTTGAGGCCTTTTACCCAAAGTCTTTTGAAAATGGCGGGTAGTTATTGCGACCCCCGCTATTCAGCTAGTACCGGCAAACAAACAAAATGGACACCTCCTGAAATCACGTATCAAAATTAAGATACGTACGCCCTCGATAGCTACAACAACCAATCCGTCCAAAAGTGACAGAGCAACAGGCGAAGTGGCCAGTCAAAAGGGTTAGGGTTAGAAAACGGATCAAACACGGCACAAGTGTCCAAAAACATGGGTGGGGACTGTCCCAGCTCGGCCAAAGTTGGTGTGGACATGTCACCACCAGTCCTTCGTGCAGTTACGCCTATGCTTCTATCCCCAATTTCAGCTTTAGCTAGCAAACAGCGAAAGCAGGAACAGACAGCTTTACTCGCTGATTGGCTCTTTGGTTGCCGCTCAAAAAGGCGAGCTTGCTCTAATCGGCTTCTTATCTACAGCAAACACTGTGGGTTGATGTCAGCACTCAGTTAGTCCACTCCTTCTACGGTCTATGGACATAACAGACGCTTACCCGTGGAGGTGGGCTGTCCCCGGAGCAGATAGGCGTCCTCCGGGTGGGGATCCAGGTGTGAGTGGTTTGAGTTCTTCTCCAGCAGGGGCACTTGGCACTCCCTGATGGGCGGAGAGGGGCCGGGGGAGGGGTGATGGGGGACAGACTGGGACGGAGGGAGCAGTGAGGAGGAAGAGGTCGGAGGGAGTGGGCGACCTACACACACACAGAGAGAGACAGACATGAAGGTGATGTTGGGGTGATGTCAGTGATTCTCAAGCGTATGCATACTTTTTGATATTGTTAACCCTTCAGGCGAGTTTTGTAACAAAGTTTGATGGAAAACAGACACAAGATGGAGCCCTGAACGTTATAAGAGATAGAAGACTACTAAAAACAAGAACAAACTAGAAGGTTCATTGTAAACACATGACTTTGAAAAGCTAAAAAGGTAACAGCATTTTTTTTATATTTGGTGATGGATTAGAACAAGTTGTATGGATTTAAATATCTACTATTCTGTTCAGTTTAAAGAAAAGAGCTTTCAACATTTCATGGACACTTTCCCCATTCAAAATATTTACTATTTTATTGATACCATGGGTAAAACCAGCCTAAAGTAGGTCAAAACTACAGACCCAAGACTAAAGCAGGCCTGAATCATTGCATACACACTAGATAATAATTTAAATCAAGCCTATTTTAACTTGAAATGGCCAGATCAAGTGAAAATGTTTTAAGCTCCAACTAATCTCCTACAGTATAAAAGACTAAATTGTAACTCTAACCTATAGATCCAATAATCCAAACCAATAGAGTGAAGTTTAAGACTGAAAAGCAGGACTAATCCGCTGAAAAAAAAAACAAGTTAGAAATGAAAATGTAAAGTTTGTCACGAGTAAAGCCAACTTTTAACATCAAATTGTCTAAGCGGAAATTACGACTTAAGCTGAGCTAAAGCAGAACTAATCTCTTGCAGACAACCCAGGTGAAAATTAAATAATGACCAAAGCTGTTTAACTTCCGAATGTCTAAATACCAAGAGAAAATAGGACTAAACTGCAAGGCTATTTCAGGAATTATCTCAGGCAGAGTAAATGTCAAATATAATCAGGACTGAAGCGGATTTTAGCGTCTAAATATTTAAACCAAGTGAAAAAAAAAACGACAAAACTACGAGGACAACATTCTGAAAAGTGAAAATCTGAATCGTATGTATGTTCCAGTCAGTTTTTTTTTATAGGAACTTAACTCCACATTAAAAACTAAAACTACTTATGCTCTCCCACTGTTCCTGCAATGACTGACAGAGATACAGGGCCAGTGTTCCCAGAAGCAGGTTTGGCTTAAACGTATGGGCTTTGCTGAGCAGGGCTTTGGTTCTGGTCCAAATCGCCTGGCAGCCGTACCCAGTAGATAGTTATAGCTGTATTGGTGCAAGTTGTAAAATATACCCCCCCCCCCCCCTCTGTTCAACTACAATGGAGGTAAGTAGCATTTAATTCGCAGCGCTCACCAAAGTCAATAGCTTTAAATCAGCCGCCGTTCGGTTTTAGAGCTGAATTGCCGTGCTTTTGGCTTTTAAAACTATACTCATACCTTTGCTTAAATGCTCGGAGCAAAGTGGCGCGCCGTACAAGCCCACTTTCAGTCACAGGGCCCGGGTCGGAGCAGTGAAAAGAGTGGGGCTTTTGTTGTTGGAATAAAACCAAACTGATTAGGTAGCACCGTTTAACAATGCTAGTTGTTTTTTGAGCTTACTGTGAAGCAAATGTTCTCTTACCATGCCCATTCAATTCAAGGATTTTCACAGTCAAATAGAGCAGTAGAGGTTTTTTAAATGCTAAACATTTTTGGGCGATTTGGAAATGTTTCAAACTTTGTACAAGTCAGACGAGGTATTTCAGTTAAAAACCGTTTTCAATATACTTTTTGTATTAGCTAAAAAACAGCCATCATCCAAGGCAAGAGTCAACTTTCCCTTGATATTTAATTCATACGCAAGCAAGGTCATGTAGTTGTTTAAAAGTCTGATTTTGAGTTGTTACAATAGGGTGCCAGATATAATATAAAATGACATGAATCAATCCAAAATATTTTGATGGCTTTGATGTATAGGTCCCCTTAGGCTGAGGCAAACAGCCCACGTTTCAGGTCTCAAACCTCCTGTCCATGTAAACTGCTATGGCACCGATAACTATTTTAGCCCTGACAATAATCTATTTCTCAAATTGAACACACAAATCAGCTAGTCGCTTTCACTTGTTCATCTTATTTGCCACGCGTTTGGGTGCAGGACCTAAATCCACTGTACAATTGTCCTCTACAAGACAAAAGAAAGTTAACAAGCAAGTCTTTAAATAGTGGGAGCCGGGGGACGCATGGACACAATCAGGCTGTCCCATACACCAGGGGAGCGGAGGATTCACTGCGCTCTCTGCAGATTTGGGATTCAAGGACAAAGACAAATCTAATAAATTCTATTTGGAGAGAGGGCTCAAAATATAGAATAATTACGTCTGATGTATTTGCAGCTCAATCAATCAACAATACGGTGAAAATGAGGCCACTGGGTCCGGTCTTAACCACCTAAGGACCTTGGTTATTACGACTGCTAATTAGGTACTTTTCCGCTAACCACTTATTTTGGTCGTCATTCCAAGTGCTCTTGGCCTTCATCTTGAAAAGTTAAAGACATTGTAAGTACGCAGCTCATGTGTAAGGGCAAAATACTTAACCGTACTTAAAAAGAATTATAATAATTGCTAACACCAGTCTACACACATGACAAATCTGAGATCCAAAATGAACTTCTGTCTGAAAGTCTGGCTCAGATGAGGTATAAGAATGATACTTTGGTGCAATAAACGATCAATTGTCTCCATGGTGATGTTGTTGGGAATTTAATAAATTTAATGTTGTTGGGACATTTAATATATCTACCATGAGAAGAAGATACCAGCAAGACAAACATGTTTAGTTGAATATTTGCCACATGAATACGACTATTACTAACATTATGTTAAGCCTTTCCAAAATAATGTTGTATGTTTTGTGTTGGACCCTGTGTCCATAATAAAAGCTTCATTTATACATTCAATATATAATTCATCTTTTGCATTTGTGATTGGTTGAAACATACATTTGAATGACCAAACTCTCTTAATGTTCCTTTATTTTCTGAGTATTTGAAAAATGAATAATATCAAAAATAAATCACACAGATTCGATGAAAGGTTGTTGTAAAGCACTGTAACTATTTCAAAAATTGAACCGCTATTTCAATCATAAATAGCATAGAGCAAGAAAATTGCGTCGCAACATTGGCCGCACTTTCAATGGAACAAAGATGCTTTCTTCATGTTTTCATACGAGTAAATGCAAGCAACAAGACCTTGAAAGGGAACACAATGCTATTCACTGTGAATCAATGTCACAGCTTTTTACTGACAACTCTCACAATACCAACGGGGCATTGGCAGCATTCACCTCCCCATCGCCGCCTATTGATACACATCAAAAGTTGAAAAGGCCAAGGAAGATGGGACAACTATTTGAGGAGATGGTGGCGTGCTGCTTTGATCTTACATGTAGCAACACAACAGAAGCCACCCACTCAAATATGTATTGAATAAAAGGCTTTGACCTGACCCAATCTTACACAATATTCATCATACTGTAGAGGGGCTAAGAGTGATTCAGTTTGTACAAATGCACACATGACTAATCAAAATGTAAGCTACATATTAGGATAAATTATCAATGATATAAAAAAAAACATTATAATTTCAAAGACAAATTGACAAATTCACTCTATATTATCCATTTGTTCAATACACAGGGATTGTAAACTACTACATGCACTTTAGCCAGAGCTGCAGTGGGGAAGATTGATTGAAGCAAGGAAACTAATGTGCTACGGGCCCCTCCGACCACCAATTACAATCTAACACACACACGCACACACACCACACTCATAGATATACAGTAGGTGTCTTGCCTAAGGACACGTTGACTGACAGTTTGACATTTTACAGCCAAAGGTCTCCCATCACACTACTAGCTTGACTCTTATCTGTTTAGCGTCTAAAACCTGACAACATCAAGCTTTGACATGCGAACTTGGCCAACTTTTGCATTGATAATTAAATATGTAGTCCCAAAGTGTAATTCTGTTTTTGAAACATAAGATTAGATGGATGTCACATTGGCAAAAAGACAGGGATTGTGCCAGATATACGCATATTATGTATAAAAGTTGGATATTGTAACTCAACAAGTTACTGTAGTAATAAAATAATCAGGAACAGCGCTTTACATCACCTACAATAAATGGCATTTATCAGTATTTGAACATCCAAACCCTTAGTGGCAGGCAAAGATTATGCATTTGACAGAAAGTATGTCTTCTCCAGCTTGCATTCCTACATCACGGAAACCGGAGCAAAAGGATCGATCGCGACGTTAACTGCACCCCAGAGAGAGACCAACCTCGCCCAGGTATAGAGCCGCGTGTGCGATGGCCGCCTACATGTGTGTGTGTGTGTGTCCATGTCCGCTCAATCTCATCAGAGCAAACACACGGAAAATGGATAAACAATTGCAATCCAAACAGTGCAACCTGACAGGGGAGAAGAGGGATGGCGAGGGGAGGGGCAGCAAGGTCATGGGGGTAACCAAATGACAGGCAGATAAATCAGGCCACGCGCAGGACACAGGGAAAAATATAGCGAAGAATACAGGCTGACAAGTTGTGTGGGGACTGTCGGGGTGATGGAAGGGGACAGAGGAGCCAAATTTAGAGGAAAAAGTTAAGGGCATGTCAAAAAATGGAAATAGAAATGTGGTTTGCAAATGCAGTTACACGGGTCAGAAAGTTGTGCCGGACTCAAAAATGGAGAATGTATTGACTGGAAAAGAATCTGTGCCAAAAGTGCCAATAGGTTGCATTCATGTTGTGGAATTGTATTTCAGATGCAGGGAAGGTGCCAATACAACTCTTACGGAAAAAGCACATTTTGAAAAAGAATTGTTGAAAAAGAAAGTGTCCAAATGTTTTCCCAGTATATATATATATATATATATATATTTGGTAGTGATTATAAACACAAAAACATAATTATTCTGATGTTTGAAAGTTTACCTTTACTGCCCAGAGAAAATAGTTAGACGCTAGTGAGTATGTACTGACAAATAAGATGCGGAACTCTGTGAGAAATTCTGTGTCATGTGGATTGGAGCAGGAAATACACCTTACACGGTGGCTGAGTGAATAGCACTCTCGCCTCTCAGCAAGAAGGTCCTGGGTTCGAATCCCGGTCGGACCAGGGCCTTTCTGAGTGGAGTTTGCATGTGCTCCCCGTGTCTGCGTAGGTTTCCTTCGGGTACTCCGGTTTCGCCTACCACTAAAAATATGTACAATAGGTCTGGAATGAGCCTCCTGTTTGGCGACCCCGCTCCCATCTATGTGTGGAGTGAGAGGACAAGTGCCCAAAAAAAATAACAATTATAAACCGCTTTGTGACTCTGGTCTGTGAAAGGCGGTATATAAATAAAGATTACTTACTACTACTTACTTACTTACATTAACTATTAACTAGAAGTCTGGCTTATACCTGTTACCATAGCTTCCAGGGAATCTGCTCTCTCCCACCATATTATCTTATAGGTTCTTTGTAATGTAGTGATGTCAAATGAGCACGACCTATGTACTGAAGGCTGATTTGTACTTTTGAATCACATAGAACTCAGGATGAAACATTTAAAAATAACCCTGGAAATGTTGCAGTGCCTTCATTGAACAAGACGGAGAAGTTGTGGAATAACCTGATGAATAATATCCTGAAATTTTCCCTACTGAGGCACAAATAAAGGCTCATTTAATCTTAATCTTAAACTGGGTCAATAATTGAGTCTCATCACTGATTTTGTGCTTCCAACATGTCTTCATTGGTTTACAGTGAAGGCAATGGCCATAAATCCCCAAATGCTTTACGATGTGATATCACTGTCTCACACTCTGAAGGGGGAAAACATTGTTTCAAGGCTAGAATCAAGAATCAAGAATATTTGAGGAGGATTTTAAAGGGATATGTATGACTAAACGCTTCTACCAAATAGGAAATAGTTATGTAATATATCTGCATTTCAGTAAATCCTTGAAGGAAGCAAATCATATTAGTTATTGATCAATCTTACATTCACTTCTATGAATACAAATTTAGACTCCACTAGACCTTAAGTTGCTCTTCGTAAAAAAACTGTCTTTACTTTGACTTGGACAAATCATTCACGGATCAACACTTATCAGTTAAATCAACCATTATCAGTCTGTTTATATTTACATTTTTTAACAATCACGCAACTCAGAAAAAATGCTATTTACAGCACACGCTTAGGATGCAGCGGGAGTCTTAAGCCGGACACCCATGCACGCCAAGCCATTGATCTGGATGAATCGATCACTCACTTCAATAGACAAGAAGGATGGGGACCGACCGTTTGCATATTTCACTTAATGAGGACAGCAACAGGCAGAGAGGAGCGCTTGGAGCTGTGTGCGTAGGAGTACAAGCATTGCATTCCACCTAAAAGAGAATTTTATGGCACTTATTTACATCATTTCTGCTCCTGGAACGGATGGGGATATAGGTCCGGTATTAATACTTGAAAATCAAACAAGTAACAAAAGAGAAAAATTGAACTCGTTGGCCGAAACCAATTAAGTGGACTTTAATCTCCTTAGCAATTACGCCGTGGGGCATCCTTAACTCACTCATTTCCGTCATGAAGTTTCCCATAAAGGTCAGTTGGAAATTGCCTGGTGTTATTAGAACAAAGAGTTGGCATGGATCATTCGTGATGCTTGGTGGTTGGTTGGTGCCATTCCTCCGCCGCCTCCCTGGCCATCTGTATACATGTCTCCATCCTCGGCTCTTCGCTACTGTGTCTCTCACTTTGCAAATCCACACAGCTTCTACAAAGTGTTGATTAGTGCGAAGGAGAAGTGTATCAAGGGGGAAGGAAATCCTCAGGCGTTTCCAGGCGGTGTATATGAAAAAAATATTGAGGATATTTGAAGGGAAAAAGTTCAAACGTGACTGTCGTTAGTATGTGGTGTGACTACGAAGTTTGCTCTTGTGCGTCAGGGTCTACACGTGATGCCATCGAAGTCCTTGAACGCGAATTTGTATGATTTCAAACTCATTTTCACTCATATTTGTCTGACCGCGTTATACATTTAAAAGCCCACTCCTATCTCTTCGACTCATCTGCTTATCGTTGTTGTGATTTGTCGCTATATCAAACTGATGCTGTATTGTGAACTGCTTTGTATTGCATTCCGCTGATGCTTTTGCTGATTTGAGATAATAATATTGTGCATCGTCTCTATCCTAAACAGGGAGTAAACGATAATCTATAAAATACATGATTTGGAAAGATGGTAAGACAACACAACCTTTCTTAGAGCCTTTCTCAAATACTCAGAATGTTGGGGAGCAACGGATTACTTAGGAAATATGTTTTCAGACAATTTTTTGTGTGTAATTGTGTTTGAGATACATTAATTTTCAAAAAATAAGGAATACCTTTTGGTATTTGATTGTGCAATTTAAACAGGACAAAAATATACAGTATACATTTTAAAGCAGGTTTTCCGTATTTTAAAATAAATCACCCCCATGCAACATTTCATTGTAAGATAGTTTACAAATTCAAAATCTGTATACAAAAAAACTGTGTGTATATACAGAACATTTGCAACAATGGTGGAACTAAACATGGTGGAAGCTTTGGCCCACCATGTGCTTGCTTTTGGTACATTTGAGCAAGTACAAGATAGCCTAGAAACAATTCATGTTAAAGTTTGTTTTTAATCATATTTTTGTATATGTATATGTAGATTTTAAGGTTCAAGTATTACGCTTGATGTGATCTGGGCAGGGACGTGCAGTCAGGGGAGGCAGGGGAGGCAGAGCCTCACCTGCCATTATTGGAAACTAATAATTATTTTAGTTTAAATATATAATTTATATCCACTGTCCTATGCTTTTAATGTATATTCGGCACGGTTCCCATCAGTTTTGATCATTTCTGAAGTCAAAATCGCCGAAATCCCGTTATTCCTATTCAAAGAGACGAGGTGAGGCAGCGCTCCTGCGTGCCTCACCCCAGACCGCTCCCTCACAGTGTGTGTGTGTGTGTCTGAGTGCACTCAGCTCGTGCAGTTGATATATCACCGTTTGTTTCAAATATCCTGCTTTAAAAACATTTTTTAAACTCCTCTTAGTGTTTAGTAGTGTATTGCACGTATGTGTGTACAATTTATATTTAGTTTAAGTCTTTTGATCGTAGATGAACACACAAGGAAAAAGCTTGGCGTGAGGCAGGCGGTATCTGTGCCTCACTGCTAGGGGTGATAGTGAGCATAAAGTTCATACCAGAGTTGCTAACAAACAATCAGCCCAAAATGCTATTTCTTTTGCTGGAAAATGGATGATTTGAATGAAGATTTTTTTTCTCAATTGGACTTTCAAACAAAGAAAGAATTAATATAGACTGGGAGACCACCACTGGACTTACGAGGTTAGTCCGGCTGCGGGGGAGGAGTTTGTTAATCTGTGTTTTATGTTGAACATTGACAGATACCGGCAAAGTAGTGCTTTTCCGAAAAACACTGATTCAAACACTGCTCAAGAGTTCTGCAACTTGTTTAAATTATTGTTTATGTTCCTCGCGTCTCTCTCTCCTCGCGTCTCTCTCTCCTCGCGTCTCCGTCTCTCTCTGCTCCTCGCGTCTCCGTTTCTCTGCTCCTCTCTGTCTCTCTCTGCTCCTCTCTCCTCGCGTCTCTCTCTGCTCCTCGCGTCTCCGTTTCTCTGCTCCTCTCCGTCTCTCTCTGCTCCTCGCGTCTCCGTCTCTCTGCTCCTCTCTGTCTCTCTCTGCTCCTCTCTCCTCGCGTCTCTCTCTCCTCGCGTCTCCGTCTCTCTCTGCTCCTCGCGTCTCCGTCTCTCTGCTCCTCTCTGTCTCTCTCTGCTCCTCTCTCCTCGCGTCTCTCTCTCCTCGCGTCTCCGTCTCTCTCTGCTCCTCGCGTCTCCGTCTCTCTGCTCCTCTCTGTCTCTCTCTGCTCCTCTCTCCTCGCGTCTCTCTCTCCTCGCGTCTCTCGCACCTGCGCTTCTTAAAGATGTTGTTTGATGCGGAGCAGAGTCAGCAGCTAGATTTGTTGTGAGATTATTAAAAGAAGCTGGTTCTCTTATCTTTACAGTATATAAAGTTTGTGGATGTCATTGCATTGGTGATTAAATGCTATTTTATTTGAATAATGATTGTAAATCTGACTTTTAAAGTCAGTGCCTCCCCAATCACAAACCTCACCGCACGTCCCTGGATCTGGGTTGTGAGGCGCCTTGTGTAGGAAAGGCGCACTACAAATAAAAGTTGATTATTTGGTAAGAAGGTTATCATTCCCCAGCAACAGTCCAATCCGGATCCATTTTGAACACAAAATCTGCTTACACCAAAAGCCATCACAGACCATTCTGCTCCACTGTATTCCCACTACAATCCTCGTGTCCTTGTCTCCGGCGTGGCCCCCCTCTCCCGACCACCCCATCCATCGGTCCATCTGTCCGAGGTGAGGAGAGCTATAGGCTGCGGAGGAGAGACAGCTGGAGCCCAGTCAGACAAGCAGAGACAAATTACCCCTTTAACGAGACCCATTCATCATCTCCTCAGCCCCCACCCACCAAAACCATCTCATTCTCTCCACACCTACGACACGGACACACCTGGACGCCCGCCTTGAACAAAGCTCGCTGAGTCAAAGCTATAGGCGCCTGTATCGACCTGATCTGAAGCATTGACAGGGTAATTGTGGCCATGGGGCTGTAGGAATGCATGGACTGGTGGGTTGGATAGGGTAGATAAAAGCATTGCAGTTACGAAGGTCCAAGAAAAGAGGTGGACGTTTCACATCTTGGGTGGTTATTTTGTGTCGTGGTTGTTTTGTCAGAGTCGGAGAAGAAATGGCTGGTGTTGCCCGGTATAGGTTTTGAATTAAAGTACAATGTGACGTTGCATTAGAAAGATGGCTGTAGTGTTGTGTGCGTCAGTGATGGTTTTTCCTATGAATGAGATTCTCTTTTGGTTTGTTGCATGTTCAAAGTTTTGGTGATATACAGTTCCAATGAAGAGGGTTTGGTTTATTCTTTCTCCCATTTCAAACAGAGGTGGAAATTATACTTCTACAGAGACAAGGCATTTGTTTTTTTTCAATGGGACACCGTATTGATGAACAGATACTACTGTAAATGCTAGAGTATTTTTCATTCAAGTGCCATTGTAGATGCTTTAATATGCACTGCACATGCTAAATGTATTAATACATTGTAAATTTCTCCTATGTGAGATAAATAAAGCACATCTTATCTTATCTTATTATTATTTGTCTTTATTTTTTCTGCCTGAGATGTTGATGCAGTGCAGTGTTCATGGTCTTGCACTGGTTCAAACCAGAGCAGAGAGGAGTCATGGTCCAAAACAAGCAGATCAGGCAAAGATCCACTGGAGGAATGCTGACTTTTTGAAAAATGCTAACAAAGCATTCAGCATCTCACTTTGGACTAGAGCAGAGAAAATGGTCCAGAAAAAGCAGCAGCACCACATTTGCTGCTACTGGACACCCGGATTTTTCCTATGGAGTATCTATCTATCTTTAGTGGTAGTGGAAACCCACGCAGAAATGGGGAGGACATGCAAACTTCACTGCGCCACCTGCAAGTCTAACCCAGGATCTTCTTGCTGATTTGAGACAGTTCTGATCTCTGCCCAACCATGACACATACAAGACACAAACACTTACCATATTGAGAAAAAATATATTTAATTAAGTTAGAGATGCTAATTTACTTCTGCTGTTCCTGGGCAGGTGCAGCAGTTTAATTTACACTCAATGGTAAACTTCTTCAGAAACAAACCAGAAAAGATAAAGGATGTTATGACTGTCATCACATAATACACCACACAATTCATACATTGAGGCAATTCAGTCGTTTTCGCACGCATGAACAAGTAGTGGCTCTCAAACTCCACTTCCACGCTCTCCAAATCCTAATCAGTTTAAGCACATGATGTAACGGCCTCTTTTGTTGGCTACACTTCTTTCCCATGCCCCCGAATCGCGCTCTCGTGCTCGTGCCCGCCACTGCCGCTATTAACGCCAGAGAGAATAGACAGAGGAGGCAGATGAGATAAAGCAGTAGCAGATGTATAAAATGATTGAATGCACAGTACACAGGAAGCAGAGGAGGAAAAGGCACGGCACACCCATCCTGGCGCACGCCGAGATCCATTACCAGGGCGGCTGTCAGCGCAGATGTTCCACTGGAGGGGGCGCAGTCACTCACTTCATGTATCTATGTATGGATATATATATAAATATATATCCGTGATCTGAGGGCTATTTAGTAATGACAGCTGCTGACACAATAGGCCCTTTCCCTATTTACCCTTACAGTGCAGTCTGTCTGCTGTACTCAGGCTCTTCCTGTTTCCGCTTTCCTCTTTTATAAAACCCTCTCGTCACTTTCAGCCTGTATACTGAGAGACGACGGCAAAATGGCCCTTTTGAAATACAGGCCTTGTGTAATGATTTGTCGAGCATTTGAGACTTTTCTTTAATCTTTGTCCCTGAAGAATGTGATGGAACGCAGTGGGTGCAGTCTCCTCATCTTGACTCAGACTAGAGATCTAAATTATAAGAATGCATTTCAGTTTAAGTGTAAGAAACTATGAAGTCTTTGGTTTACTCATTATGGTAGCCTTTATAAAGAATACCATAATTCATCGTGAGCAAGTATTCAGTTACAGTTTTATTTTATCACCGATGATAAAAACCTAATCATTTAAACACAATGCGTTCATAAGGCTATACAAATTCCTTGTTACAACTTCTACAATTACTACCATTTTACTGCAGCATGTGATGATATTAATGAGGGAAAATGAGTTCCAAGTATAAACATATGGAGAAACGCAATATTTCCCTTTCATGCGTACTTCTGTCAATTTCTCTAGCACGTGTATATTTTTGGTAACCATCACATTGTCATGGAATAATAGTTCTGTTTTTGTAATTCATTGGTAATATGTGTAAAATAACTGTATAAAAAAGTACAAACTTCATAAAGAAATAACGGGAAACTGACAAATGTCAATTTTTGAGATGTCCTCTTGAATACATTTTTTGTGTTAATCCACACACCTGTTGCTTCTGGAGTGTGTAATACAGGGATAAATAAATAAGCTCCAAGCCGTGATGCTGTTTGATAATGAAAATCTAGTTTAGTCTATTTTCATGTTTTTGATCATATTGATATTTATTTCGTCGACATTATCTTGAATACTGCTTACTAAATCAGGGCACTTTCAATGGAGTAAGTTGGCTTTCCACAAACAATTCCCCAACTCTTTTCTTAAAAAAAGGGCGACAGTAGCTCAGTTGGTAGAGCATTGGCCTTAAGGCCAGAAGGTCGTGGGTTCAATTCCCACCTCTGCACCTTCTCCATCGACTCCCACTGATGACTGCTGTCGTTGTGTCCTTGGGCAAGACACTTAACCCCAATTTGCCCAAAGCCCCCACTGAAAGATCAAGGCTATGCTCACAGTCAGAGAGCAGCCACCCTCCTGTGGACTCACCACCTGCAGAGGGTCAGTGAGGGGCTGGTGCTATGAGACTTGGGTGGCATCTCTGATTGCCACCCCCCTGACCCAGAAATGGATTAAAGGGTAGAAAATGGATGGATGGATGGATGGATGGATTGGAGTAGTGCTTAATCTCTTGTAAAGTTCCAGTGCATTACATTCTGTCTGTCTCAGATAAAGTTTCTGTAAAAAAATAAAATAAATCTGGCCCCTAAAGGATTATATACAGTTATTATGACAGTAGATCAATGGAAACTTTTTGCCATGGTGACAATCTAAGAGAGAACGGCACAACTGTAAAAGAAACGGAGGACAGCGACTTTCACTGTTGTAGTATTACTTCTAAACAATGATTTGAAACGGCAGAAATATACTGTACATGCACCGATTGTCATGGTTTAAGTTTATTTCCTGTTTTATTTTGAACTGTGTTATTCCTGTGTCTTCTTTGGTTGTACTTCCTGTTGTCTGATTACCTGCCCTGCCCTCATCTGTCTCACCTGTGTCTCGTTAGTCTTGTATTTAGCCCTGTGTGTTCCTTCACTCCCTGTTCCGTCATTGTCTTTCCTAGTCTGTTTTAGTTCTGTCCGTTCCCTGTGTTTTTGGTAGGTTTTGATTTGTATTACTTTCATTAAATCCATCATTTTGCAGTTTTTGCCTTTTGGGCCTCATTTGTTTTTCACCCACGTGACAGAATGACGGAACCACTCAAGGCCCAAGCAGACTGCTTTATTTTTGTTTTTTATTTTTTGTCATCTCTGGCCTTTGTCCCCGACTGGTCTTGACAGTTGCTGCAGGAGCTGGACGCATTCCCTGTCTGTCTGTCTGTGTCCTGGACCACTGCAGGACACTTAGCTCCGTCCTGGGTGGTTGCAGGCTTCCGTTCCTGACCTGGCTCCGCTGGATATTGTTCTCCATCCAGGGGGCCTTCTGTACCCGTTTGGCTCCAGTCCTGGCTCCAGTTCCTGCTCCAGCTCTTCCGCTCCAGCTCTTCCGCTCCAGCTCTTCCGCTCCAGCTCTTCCGCTCCAGCTCTTCGGCTCCACGCCCCGGCCCCGGCTCCACGCCCCGGCCCCGGCTCCACGTCCCGGCCCCGGCTTCACGTCCCGGTCCCGGCCCCGGCTTCACGTCCCGGCCCCGGCTTCACGTCCCGGCCCCGGCTTCACGTCCCGGCCCCGGCTTCACGTCCCGGCCCCGGCTTCACGTCCCGGCCCCGGCTTCACGTGCCGGTTACACCCCCCCGGTCCTTCCTACGGTCCCCCTCCTCCCTCCCTGGTTTTGTTTTTGGGACGTCTGGGATCCGTCCCTTGAGAGGGTACTGTCATGGTTTAAGTTTATTTCCTGTTTTATTTTGAAATGTGTTATTCCTGTGTCTTCTTTGGTTGTACTTCCTGTTGTCTGATTACCTGCCCTGCCCTCATCTGTCTCACCTGTGTCTCGTTAGTCTTGTATTTAGCCCTGTGTGTTCCTTCACTCCCTGTTCCGTCATTGTCTTTCCTAGTCTGTTTTAGTTCTGTCCGTTCCCTGTGTTTTTGGTAGGTTTTGATTTGTATTACTTTCATTAAATCCATCATTTTGCAGTTTTTGCCTTTTGGGCCTCATTTGTTTTTCACCCACGTGACACCGATGGCTCCATAAACACCTTCACAAGATCTTTTCAACCGCAGCTCTGACTGTGGCTTTTCATCTGAGATATAGTCACGACGTGGCTGTGCCCTTAGACCTCTCTGCTTCAAGTGCATAGAAATGATGACAGCACATTAAATGGTATTTTTCAGAAAGTGCTTGAAGAATGAATGAAAGAAAACACAGTCAGTTCTATTTTATTAAGACCTATTTGCAAGGTACTCATGGAGGTCAAGTTCACGGAACATCCTACTATGGTTAAAAGCAGCGTGACTATTAGTGCTCTCATCCAATTGTACACATAGGTTCATAACAGTCAAATAAGGTAATATGGATGTTGGAAATAATTCAAGCCTAATGTGCATGCAAACTTTTGAACATTTTACATGGAGAGACAGGTTCTGTATAAAACCTGGGCAAACTGTGGCCTGTGATCTGTTGTTTAGTTGAATAAATGGTAGCTCAAAGATGGCTCCATGTTTTAACTGAAGAAGCTCTCACAGAAAATAGAAAATACAATCTTTTGTCAAGTTTAATGAAATGGCAATGGCCCACTCCTGTTGCATATCAGGTTCATACTCAGATAAACACAATATCTACCGTGCCTTTTTTTTTAGTCTTTCATTTTAGTCTTCTACTTTCTTGTATTTTTGTTTGTTGCCAAATTCTTTTTTTTATTTCTAACGACAATTTTTGACGTGATTTTTTTCTTTAAGCGAGACAGAGTGTATATAGTTAGTCTCATGGTGTGGACCTTTTGTTGATGTATTTTTACCTGGTTTTATTTTGATATATATTTGTTCTCTTGTTGTTTGAGTTTGACTTCCTGTTTGTCCTGTTGATTGTGTTACATCTGTGCCTCCCTATGTGTACTTAGACCCATGTGCTCCTGTCCTCTTGTTGTACGTCCAGGTTTTACTTTTGGGATTTCCATGCTGTGTGACATTTGTTAAATTAAATTATCTTGTGGTTCTATCTTTGAGCCTATTTTAATTCATGACAGCCTAAGTACCAATGCAAAAATAACACACTTCTTAATGGGCTCCTTTCTGTAGCTCCTCACTATATAAATGTTGATTCTTTAATTATACTATTATGTATGGCTTGAAATGGTCATCCATAATAGTAAAACCTTCATGTTAAATCAGACAGTATGGGTGGATGCAGATTGACTTCAGTCATGCTTGCCACAGTTATTCTTGTCCAAGTTCATGTTTGGTTTTTGGACTTTATAGTTAAATACATTTTCCCCTTTTTTGTGAGCGGCGTACAAACTGGTGATCTCAAACACAGAGATGCTCCTGCTCAGCTGTTGCCGTCCATTGTCAGAGATGTCCACCGCATCACCGAGGGCCACCGTAGAAGTTACATTACCATATAAATTACCTCCACGTTTCTACTGCTGCTGCTGCTGCTGCCCTGGACTGATGCTATTGTTATGGATTCTACACATCGGGCTCTCGTTGAAAACAATCGCAGCAACACCCTCCTCCTCTCACATAAATGCTTGCACACGCACACATGCTCACGTGACACACAGGTGGAGTGCGATATGGACAGCTATCCGCTCTCCATTACCTCCGAACATCCACTGTAATCTGAGAAGGGAGCAGAGCGGCCAGAGGTGGGGATGTGTGCTTGTCACTGTAATTCTGCACGAGAGGCAAAAAGCAGCTGCATACATACCGTGGACAGGCTTAGTTTTGCTAATTGAACAAAAAGGCTTGACCCCATCCATTTCCCATTTCTTTTTATACACAATACTTGCAATACCAAAATAAAATCCCTGGTGTAATGTATGGGTATCTTTCAAGGCCAAATATCTAGGCACAGGTTACTTTCAGTTTGATATGATTCAATACGGTACATTTTTAAACGATCCAATGTGGTTCTGTAAATAATAAAGGCTAATGCTATGGCTCATTTAACACGAAGAGATACAACACTATAAATGCATTGTTATTTAATGTGTTGAATATTGATTGTTAATATAGTCAAAATATGTCTAAATCTAAATACTCAAATCCAAAAAAATAATTTCATATATCCGATACATCTTTTTTTTCCACACTTCCACAATGAAAAAGCTATAGGAGGGGTTTCCAACTTACAGATCAGGAGGCATCAGTGCATTGTTTAGAATTATGTACAGAATTATGTGTCTAAATAAAAATAACTCACATTCCTACATTAAGTGTGTCACTTTGGCCACTAATATTATGATTATTTCCTCAGGCTCGATAACCTTTCTATTGACTCAAGAAGCTCTCCATGGGAAATAAAATGTCGGAGAGCCCTGTGCAAAAGCATTTAAACCAAATCTTGTCAGTACATTGTTGTGTCTGCTCCTCAATCAAGGTACTCTGCGGTTACAGCTTATCCTTTCAGGTTTGCACTTATTTTTTCTTAAAACACCCCATTGTTTACAAACATAAAAAGCCAATAGTCTACCCCCAGTGTTGCGTGCTGATTAATAAAAGTCCCTTGACAGAAATGAATTGTGGAATATTTAGCCTGTGTGTTGATTGAGTCATCTTTAAGTGCATATTAATTAACATGTTTTTGTGCCAGATAACATTTGTTTTATGAAGTGGCCTTTCTGATTTCCCAATTAAAATGACTATTTGGCTGACAAAAACTGGATTTTATATTAATCTCTGCTGGCGTTAAAGCACACGGGACACCTATTCATAGTCTCCCATTGTTTACAATACATTTAATTGCGTTGCACTTCTGTTGCATCCTGCACATTTTGTTCCTTAGCATCAGACGACTCTTTATACACTCTGACTCAATGCAAGTGTGGGAAGTTATTTCCAAAAACTCCAAAAATGATTTCTCATTTTTGGTAAGTGCCAAGCCCGAGTGCAATCTGAAGTTTTCACAGAAGCTGTCCATATGTCACTTTCACACTAAGTGAAGGAAATGCACACCATTCGACATCTACTCCACAAGCTGTAGTTTCATACACACCACTCCGCCAGACTCAACCGTATTTTGAACTGCGGATATCATTTTATGGTTAAGTCATTGGGCAATAAATAGATGTTTAATGGATTCCAAAAATGTGAAATTTATCAAAAATACAAAACACAATTTCTTTACGCCTTGGCTTTTAACACCAATTGAGTGTTACCATTTTACTTTTACATGTATGCTCTGTACAAACAAAGTTGACATTGACATTGACAAAAAAAAACTTAATGTTGAGCATATTCTTAAAAGTTGTTGATGGTGTGCTGCATACAGTATATGCACCCTGAAAACTGTAATTAGTCATTTGTGCATGTTTGAGTTATCGTTACTTTTGTTCTTTGTAAACACCATCAGAAACATCAAAAATCAATGATATGTCGAGAGGTCAGTCAACAACCAACACCAATATTTTGGAAACAAGTATAAAAGACTTAACATTAGAACTGTATACTTACAATTGTATCTTATTTTTATTGTACATAATAAATCCTGCACAACGGAGACTATATTTTAACATGTTTGCACACTTCCTGTCTCTTTGCACAACCTGAGTGATACTCAATTGCGTGATCAAAAAAGCGTATCCTATCTGATCTTATACATTGTCCATATTCTCTCTCCAGTAGGTTAATTTCAGGACACCCTTTTCAGTATTCCATCGCGACCATGACTTATGGCATCATACACATGCCATACACCGTTAGCGACGCTAACGGCCGTATATATTACCGCTACAAAAACAGAAACTTGGATATTTGCATCTCAAATGGTCTCGGAATCTTTGGCATTCTGGCATTGCAAAAACAAAAAAACTGCCTCTCCCACAATTGCCAAACATTTGAGAAGAACTGCCGTCATCAAGAAAGCTATGCATACTGAACGGCAAGCGGGCGCATACATACATACATACATAAAAACGCTTTTGAAGCTCCTGGCTTACAAGTGAGTGAAATTAATACACACTTCTCTATACAGACATGCAAGAAATCCAAGCAGAATTAAGAAAAAACCTACATTAAAGTGTGGAAGACGGAAAAGCATCTGATTTGTTTATGGCGCACATTGCCAGGCGCGACCTTGCATAGTCAAAGACACCATACCATATTGTAATCTCATGAATAAACTCCATTTCAATTATGTATCCTTTTTGTGAGGCGCTGCATTATGGGAAACGGCAGGGAATCTGGAGGCCCTGAGTCAGCAGTGACAATCCGCACGTCAACACATTAATGCTGACGGCGTTGAACGAGAGCGAGAGCCGGCCCCGGGATCTTTAACGTAAACATTGTATCGGAACAAGAAAGGACAGCGCTTCTCGAGCTGTATACGAGAGCTCTGGCAAAAGTGGTTCAAAAGTTGAAATGTTTATAGACTCCGAACAGAGCTTTCTTTCAAGGTGAAGACGTAGTGACAGTGGCAGCACGCATTCAAAAGGCTGTTTTCTGTTTGGTGGACTGGGGGGGGAGTCGAAATAGCCATAGTTTTCAAGCCCATGGGGTTTCTTTCTTTGTAATGGACAACACTTTTGTACGCAGTGCCAGCCCGTGCAGGTAATTGTAGATCGCACAAAAGAAGCAATTGGTTTCACGAGATTTAAGGTTTACTGGTGAACCGGGGCACTTGTTTTGAAGGACAAATAATACAAACTTAATTTTTTTTTTTTAAGAAAAGAGAACAACATTGACATTGACATGTTTGGCAGTAAGGCTGGAACATGCTGTGGATTCTTACAACTTATCACATGGCCATTTTCTATTAACATGTTTAGACCAGTCCACCCTTTTAGGTTTCAGTAGAAAAAGTTTACTTGTGAACGAATGAATCCCACCAAAGAACCCGCTGAGAAGCAAGCTGCACCATTAACTTCATCGATAAATGGTCATATTATTTTGCTTGTAAAGTGCAGTTTCGATCAGGCACAGTCTTGCCTTTTAGAGTTTGCAACTTTGATATTTTCAGCCCTCATTACCGCTGTTGCCTTGCCTTTATAAATAGGTAATTATCACAATATCTTCTATAATAGACCTTCCATTTCCTCTAATTGTAGACTTTACTTAATAGAGTTGACATTTAAAATAAATTTTCTAACAAAATGGGTATTTTTACCGACTCAAATCCCACTGCTAAACCTTCGGAGCTCCTCATCCCTCGCACAATGTGGTTGGGAGGCGGTGCTGATAGCTGATTGCGTTATTAGTTGTCGGCAGCCTAAATCATATGTTAATTACATGCAAATTGCACGCTCGGAAAGACGGAGAGGTGCGCCGCAAACTTGAGGTGAACTTTTTAGAGAAAGGAGAACAGCAATCCTTTGCTTTAAAACTTTTCTGAAACAAAAGGGTTCTTGTCTATTTATGAATGTAAAGAACAAACACTATGGGTACAAGATTATAGAAATAGATCCACAATTTGATCAGATCTTGGGAATTTTTACACTGTAACATTTGCCAAATAATATAGCCCATGGTCTCACTTTATATTGGATATCTCTAGACACAACTAAAAATATTGCCTCATTTGTGTATCAAAACAGACCCAGACTGTTGCACAAGTCATGTCCGGGTGATATCATTTGTTGAGTCATTCCTCACTTTTTTTTTCTGTCTGTAAACACATGCCATCGTCATACTGCCACACAATTAGCCCGGCTTGCATCAGCTGACATCAGGTGACTCGGAGGAATATGGAAGTCCCCGCATGGTGGACTTCACAGGCAGTTGTGTGTCGGCGTGTGTATTTGGAGCGCTTGTTTGTGTGCCCATCCTGCACAAACACTCTCTCGCAAACGTGATGCAACTCTCCAAGGCACCACCTGCAAACCATTCAGTGCATAAACAGTGGTGCGCAGGCCAGGCTGAGAGTGAGAGGTCGAAACAGGCTCAGACCTGGCCAAATGTTACACTAAAGAGATCTTAAACGTCAATAGTGTTTTCCACTATTCTGACTACCATCATCACTTCATTGGCCTTTATTGTATTGATAAGAGTTGTTTTTGTTTTCAAAGTATTACTGGCTGTTGAGCAGATAATCAAACTTATATGGCTAGACAGGAAAAGAAGGAAATAATAAAACATTTTTTCAGTATTGGGAGAAATATAATTTTGGTTTCATATGCAGCCGAAATGTTGAGAGACAATACTCAAATCTGTACCAAAAACGTTAATGTGTGAGTAATTTAACTACTCACATGTTTATTTTACACATTAAAACCATCCCTTTTCTATTTTATTTATAATTTATTCTAAGACATGGCTCTCAATTCAAACAACCTAATACATATGATATATACAGGCCAAGGGTGTGATACGATTTGAGTCTAGTATTTGAATCAAAATATTAGAAAACATTAGTCTTCTGGTTCAATTGCAGAGTTGCATGTTCAACTTGTTATCAACCTGCGCACAGTTATTGCATAGCACATTTGACACTGCACCCCTCTGAACCCTATGAACCGCCAGACCTCTGAGACAAATACAAAATGCTAATCTTAGGATGGAGCCGAGTCGGTTAGTTTAAGCTGAGAGCGACGGATGAGATTTTTAATTACTGCATGACCTGGGGTATATTAGCGCATATTAACGAGGATCATTAACCTAGAGGTAAGTAAGGCCCCACCTTCTTAACTACCACTGATTGCACCTCCGCCTGACATGTGTCTCTGTCGCTCCGCCGTTTTGCATGTGTCAAAGTGTATTAGGAGGCAGTATCAACAAACGCAAACAACTTCTTTTTTTCACAGCTCTCGGCGGGTCGAGGTTAGAACCCGCGCGCAAGCAAGCCTCATCCCGCTTCCTGGACCGTAAATGCCAGCGATCACATCAACGACGTCATTCATTTATTGCTTTTTTTCTTTCCTTTTTTTCCCTACTTCTTTCCCCCTGCATGCGAGGCAACTCCTATGGTCCCATTAGCCCAAAGTCTCAGCGGTTCCATGCTTTTATCTTCAAAACGCAGGGTGGTTCTCGCTGTATTTTGGCTGGGAAAATGTTTGCACAGCACTCGTTCACTCACAGATGCCCAACTCTGTCCATTTCTCTGCTCCTGTCTCAGCAGTTTATCCTTTCATCTTTACATAACTGTGCGCTCCCAGTGTGACCTGCTCTCAAAGTACTGCCTCCACCCAACCCAACACACACAAGCCTGCACACACACACACACACACAGACGCACACACAGACGCACACATACACACACGCACACATGTAATACTGCATGACTTCTGGAATAACTGGGATCAGGGGAGATGTATCTATGAACTCAATAATCCTACTGAAGCCTCCACGGTACTGTATATACTGCTAATTCTGACTCACTATCAAACTTTAAATCAGTAATCAAAACCCATCTTTTCAAACAAGCTTTCCCGTAAACCCCCTTTTTCATATTTATTGTATTTTATTCCCCATGTGAAGCGTTTTTGAGTGTCCAGAAAAGCGCTATACAAGTTTGATGTATTATTATTATTATTTAAGTTAAGTTATTTTCAAAACCTATGCAGACACAGTGATGACATGTAAACTCAACGGAGAAAGGCCCCATGCCGTATCTTGGGGGGGGGGGGGGGGGGGGGGGGGGGGGGGGGGAGGCCTTCATGCTGGGGTGCCATTTCTTCAGCAAGAAGGTCAAACCCAGGACTTTCTTGCTGAAAAACGAGAGCTCTGCACTTAGTCGCTGAGTCGTGCAGATAATTCAACAATGCATAAAACGCCGTCAAGATGGCGCCGTGGCAAGAGCTCTGGTGTGTGCCATTGGTGCACACTGAGATAGTCTTGCACAGTTTTTCCAATGTGCTTTTACTGCAAATGGCAAATACATTCTTGTATCTTATTGTATCTTGCAACTGTAGTGTCTATGAATTGCCCATAACAACACATACTAGCAATGCAAAACATAGCAAGACATTTCTATTATTTGTATATGGAATGTAGCATCACATGTTTTCCCAAATCACAGCCTCTAATCTGAGTCTCTGCAGAAGACATATTCTCAAAAAATCATTGTAACATATTTTGTAACTTTTTTTCATCATAATGCTTTGCTTTGCTTATCAACATCATTAGCGCTGTTTCTTTGACAGCCATGTGACTTATGTTGCTTATTTATTCATTCTGTTATTTTTAACTAATCTGTATTCACACCATGCTGATTTGTTAATCTGTCTTTATGTCTGGCAATCGCTTGGATAAGATGCATTTCATTTCCAGATTCATGCAGAGCTACTGTTTGCTCTTCCAACAATTCAAACAGGCTATATCAGGTATTTTACTGATCTTATGTATCCTGTCCTGCCCCGAATACAAAACTTCTCGATATTTAGGGGGATAATGAAGCTGGATGCATGTAGAACCAACAGCTACTTTAGTCTACCCCTTTTTTTTTAACCCAAATTCTTTACAATCTTTGCACTACGCTGTTGACATAGACATCGATACAACACTGTATATAGACACATGTGTTCTATATCTGACATTGCTTTGATGTAGCAGGTCATTATAAAACAAAGAAAAAAAAGAGAAGAAAAGATCCAACCAATATAACGTGCTGGTATACAAATAGAACGCTGTGGGGCTCGAAGATCTGATGACGATATTGTACAGATATTTGCCAGAGAAAGAAATGCGTTGAGAGTTCTGGGTGGTTACATTCACAATGGCAGCAATCACTCGAGCGTCGTGGAATAAAACGCCATAATACAGCTCTTTGTGAAGGCTGAGCAATCTGATGTGATTGTACACGACTTAATGCGCCCTACTGCGATAAGCTAATATGCGGGGAGAACCAACAATTGCACTCATGAAAGTAGCAGTATAGTACAAGGACGGGAAAGTAAGAACGCTTTTTGGAAAAATAACTTGCATTTTCGGATGTGTAGATTTAACCATGCACCTCCTGTAGGTTAGGATAATAGCCAAGGAAAAGTGTGCAGCTAAGGTAAAATTCGGGTTACTGAGTTCCCAATGCACGACTGCCTCACATCGCTCTCTGCTTTTGGAAAACTTTACAACAGCAGTGCCTATTCTGATGTGGTCTCCGATGATTTATTTCAGCATGAATCAGTCTTGAATGAAAAAAAGAAAGAAAAAATGGTGCTAAACCCAACTAAATTGTGTGAAAACGTGACATGTAATTGGAATTAGCGTTGACACAACTATCAGATATTGGTCACTAGTGAAGCTAGTATCTAAACTGGATACTCTCTTGAGAAAGTGTTGATAGTGGGAAAAACATAGTTGAAGAGTTGTTGAATGGTCTGGATCTGTGTCAAAAGTTATTAAAAAGTTACCTTTAGTTTTATGTATGTAAAAAATATATGGATCAATGTCCAAATAAAGAAATAGCTTAGCTTATCTCTCTAGTATCAGGATTAGAAATGAGTATTGAGTCTATGTCTTAGAATCAGAATCAATTTTGTAATTTCAAAGCCAAAATCTAGAAAAAAATCTGTACAATATTATAATATATATATACTATTATCATGCAAAGCCATGCCCATACAAACTGTATATGTGAGTTTTCATTTTTTTAGGGGAGAAAATGTACTTTTTTGCTCTTACACTGTTCTTCTATGGAACAACAAGTGGATCTGTGCATCAATCCGGACATTAGCGCATCGATGTGGATTTAATTGTCATCTTTGTAGTTTGTGACTCGGGCTCAGCAGAGACAGCTGTGATGCATGTGTTACTTTTATGTAAATTGACAGAGAGCTCTTGCTGGTGTATGTGTATATGGAGTAGTATCTTGGTGCATTAATTGCCATTCCCAGCGGTCGTCAGTGCGCAGCGGGATCCTGTGGGAGCGCTGCACCTTCATTAGTCCACACTGATCATCTCTCGGATGCACCAGAGAGGCCTCGCTCCCCGCTTTCATCACTCCGTCTGCTGGAGCCACTCATCCCACTGATTCTTCTCAAACGCACAGACACTCGCGCTCCATGCTTCATATGCAAAAAGCAGGATATATCAATGCTGCTGTGTCACCGCGAGCGAGCAAGGCTTTACGAAAAGGGGCGAAGGAACGAAAGCATGAGTCATAAGGATATCTGGGTCACTTCCCACTTCAAAAAGCTACTTTAGGGTTCGAGGCTGAACACAGTGCTGCTTTAAAAATATAATATGCTCCTATTTACATGAATTTTGTCAGTCAAGCTAGTTTTATGTGGTGCAGTGATGTTACAGAACAATTTATGCAATGTTGAATGGTAAAATATCCAAATGCAGAAAAGTAAGAGGTGTAGTTTATCGTCTTTTATAACATTACAAATGATATTACATCATAAACTGGCTACAAAGCAGTAACGGTCAGTAAATGTAAGCGGAGAGGTTGAAATACACATTTAACCACCATTTTCATAACGGCAAAATCATGCACAATATACAATGTTTTCATATAATCATTTGTAGCTATAACCAATGTTTTTCCGAAAGAAAAAAAATCAAGCTTTAAGCACAATGGGCCTCATTCACGAATAACTTCGTAAGAAACTACTCAACTTTCTTCTCAAGTTGTCCTTAAGTAGATTTCTAAGAAGTCCCCACGTGGGATTCATCAACGCACTCGTAAGGCGCTGAATTGTTCGCAGCTGTTCTCTCAGATTGATGAATCCCATTTCCTCGTAAGTACAGCGCGCGTGCCCGGTGCTTCATTACCATAGGTACTTAGCATAAGTAACCGCCCACTAATGCCCATATAAGGGACTGCAGGGCCGTGTGCAGACGCCAGAGGAAACAGCAACAGGCCTAAAGCAGGCTTTTGCCAGACTGAGAATAAAGTTATAAAATGTTGACTTAAAAGTCGAAATATTATGATTATAAAGTCGAACTAGCAAAATTATGAGATTAATCTAAGAATATGATGAGATTAATCTCAAAATGTTATGAGCTTAATTTAAAAATATATTATGTATTATTTTAAAGATGAATCTCAAAATGTTTTGAGATTAATCTCAAAATATTTTGGACCCTGGGAGGAGATCCAGCGCGGACCAGCGCTGAGACCAATGCAGACCCGAGGAGAGACTGGAGTGACCAGCACACAGAAACCAGCGCGGACAGGAGAGACCGCATAGACTGGAGACACCTGACTGGAGAGACCGGTGCGCAGAGACCAGCGCGGACCGAAGAGAGACCGCATAGACCAGACTTGAGAGACCAGCGCGGACCCGTATGGATCCATGGGAGAGACCAGCGCAGACCCGTATAGATCCATGGGAGACACCAGCGCAGACCCGTATAGATCCATGGGAGACACCAGCGCAGACCCGTATAGATCCATAGGAGAGACCAGCGCAGAGACTCAGCGCGGACCCAGTAACCTCCTGCAGCAGCAGTATATATGCCGTTGTTCTGTGGCCCGTGGATAAAGAAATGCCCCCTATAAATAGGAAGGGGTCACTAATACACGGCAAGATTTCCAATGTATTTGATAAAGCGTTGGCACATTTCATTTCAAAATGAATTAAAAAGTAGGCCAGATCTGCAGTGAAAAAGGCGGTATATAAATAAAGATTACTAATAAAGATTACTACAAATAAATAAATACATACATCGATATGACGGACATATCACTGGAATGTTGTATTTTTATTCAACTTCACCAAAGAGGACAACCCCGGCGTGTGAACATGTCGGCACTGAATGCGTACGAGTGCTCCTGAGGACTCGTAGGATTTGTACTTGCCCAAGTGAAATTCTGGTTACGAGAAATATTCGTGAATGCCACTTTCTTCGTAAAAACCGCGTAAGTAGGATTTACGTACAAATCTGTTCCTAAGAACCGTTCGTGAATGAGGCCCAATGTGAGTTAGCGGTGTCTGGGTTACATGCCAGCAGTGGTTTTTCTGTTGGAAAAGTTAGTAAATGAAATAGAAATGGGAAGATATGGTTTTCTTCACGGTGCACTGGAGTTCATGCAGGGTTTGCTTCAAAATATCAGACACCACTTGATATCAAAAACACCATATCTTTGCTCGTATGATTGAAAGTTATCTCCGACAGCCAAACATTTCCAGTGGACACCCAGCTATTGTCAATTGGAGAAATGTGAATCCGTACAGGTTTATCTCAGACAGAGAAACAAGCAATATATTTGACACACTCGAGATATTCATTATGACTTTCGCCTCCGAATCTAATTTATCAAAGAACCTAGAAAGAAAGTAAAGTCATTCTCCGGAAAGTTCAGTTCTAATTCACTTTTTCATTTAGCGGAAAAAGAAGTTTGAATCTGTTCCATTTGAGCCACTTGGGTGAAATGGCCCGTAAAGATCACATATTAGAGACCCGGACTGCCCACTCTGTCTGTCTGTGATATAACTTTTCTCTTTGCTCCTCTCCCTTTTTCTCACACATTCATTCCTCATTCCCATCAGCCATCCCTCCATCATTATCTCTCAGTTAATACTTTGCCATAGTGTGTGTCTCTCTCTCCCAAAGTGCAAGTGCTTCTTGACCCCAGGGGGCAGACTGTGTGTAGCACTCAGCAGACCCCCGTAGACACCAGGCACACCAGCTCAAGCGCCGAAAACCACCTCCTCCTCCCATTCCCCCCCCTCTCCTGTATTTTTTTCTTCTTCTTCTGCAGTGGATTTGAGACGCCAGCTGGAGGAAACGGAGAGAAATGGGCCCAATTACAGCATTGGGAACTGAAAGTTGGCTAATTAACTGTAATTCGCTAACAAACTGCTTTTTCACCAAGAATCATTTCTCTCCCCGTCACATGGCGAGGGCACGCATGAGAATCCGCAGTACAACGCCACTGCCAAAAAGTCATAAGCACACACACACACGCAGGTATACGCACAAAAACGACACAAAATGATACCCAACCACATCCGCGCTCAGCTGTATTTACCGCTGGGGCAATATGTTGATTCGGTTAGAGAGGCTGATTATTGCACAGTGACAGTAAAGGAAACAAATGTCTTTCATAGTCAGGCATCTATCTCAGCAAGAGGGCTTCCAGCTACGCAGACTCGCGCACAAAGAGGAGAGGAAGAGAGGGAATAACGCGGGAAATTGGGGGAATGAGGTGCGGGGAATAACACAACAGGAAAAACGAAAGAAAGTTAAAGGGGTGCCAGATGGAGAAGGGGCAAATGAAAGATGGGGTGTAGACGTTAAACGAATAGAAGGGAGATGAGACGCAGTGCAAAGGCGGGTAAAGCGCATTCGTATTGGTTGGTTCGCAAAAGAGTTGTTCCTTTTTCTACAGCGGGTTTAATGGTGGTTAGAGGCAAGAACAATGGCGTTATCGGGAGCGCAGATGCTATCGAGGTCGGGACACACAGAGACCCACACGTTAAGCTTGTTTTATTACATCCGAACAGAGAATTACATGGGAGGCAGCACTCAGAACAATAAGGTTGTCAATGTTGAATTATCGGAACAGGTGTCCAGTGGCAACGCCGCAGCAACAAAATGGGCATGCGGCCACTCAGCTTTTTGGATGAGTTGTGGTGATTATACATTTGACCAAGCATCAATAGAAGCAGACTTTGTTGTCACTGGCCTTTGGAAGAAAACATTACACAAATGAGTACTTGCTTTCTACTGTTAAATTATAATTTCCAGTTTGTGTAAAAGCAAGGGAAGCAGTCATTATGAACATGGCATTTAAAAAAATAAAACATACAATTCTATTTATTATAACATATACTTATCTACCTACCATTATTAAATATATGTAGAAGACAAAAACTAGAATTCAGTAAAAATGTTACACTACATTTCAACAAAAGGACTCCATTATTGATGTATATATGTGTAATTTATTGCAGATTAATTGTCAGTAAAATCATTACAACAAAATCTATATATGTTCAGACTTACTTGTTCATACTTAATATAATAATACAAATAATTATTAAAGCTAATAATTAAAAAGCTATATATATAAAAATCTATTTTTTTTGCATAGCCTTAATCATTAGTATTCTTTTTGCTTCCAGAATGAGAAACTAAGCCAACAAATGTATTCATTTTTTGTGGCATTCCTCTGAAATGCTAAACCATGTATTCCTGGCTGGCACGGTCCATAGGCTCTCATGGTGTGTTTGAACAAAGTTACTGTAGCTGCCAGCATTTGGATGAAGTCAGTCTGCAGAAACAAAGACAGAACTACACTCGGGGCACCTCACTGAAACATAACAGCAGCGAGTGAGGACCCTCTATCACACAAAAAGAAGAAGTCTCCAAATCCAATTCTCAAGTCCTGGGTTTGGAGGAAATCTAGTGCCCTTTGGTGTGAGTGAAATCGAGATGGATGAAGCCACACTGCTTCATAGACGATAATGGTCCATGAAGAAATGTGACTTTTTTATCACTGAACTGTCGATGGGAGCTTCACATGCTGTTCGTGTTCAGCTCATACAACTTGTGAGGCCTGTTTTTGACTCAAATATTGATTGAGAAAAACATGTTTCCAGTATTTCCCTATTTTTACCCTGAGCCATGAAATAGACCATCATAAAATACAAGCAAATAAATGTGGTCCTCAATCTGGATAGATGTACTTGATTTTTTCTTAATAGAAAAGATCAGATGCAAAAAGAGATTTCTCAGATTTGATAAATTGTAAACAAGTTGTTGCATTATACCCTTAAACACGTTTTGTTTTTCATTGCAGATCATGTGAAAACATTTGCTCAAGACTGTATTCACACTGAATGTATATATACTGTAGTTTACTTACAGTATATTGTTTAGGGGATATTGCATTGAGAATTTTAAATATAAAAGGGATATAATATATAAAAGGGAATTTCTTTTTAGCAATATGGTAAATGTATTCTTTTTTTTTTTTTTCATATCTCCCATACATATTTTAATTAGAGCAGGCAAGATTCTTATATGTCAAATGTGTTCCTAAAAAGCCAATCACTGCTGTATTTGTACATTTCAGTAAATATTGAACCTTTTTGGATGTGTTCTTCCCGTGTTGCCTGAATTTTATTTTTAATGTTAATATATGTTTGTGCATGTTTTGCAAAGATGTGTGAAGCAATTTACAAATAAAAAGCTGCTATGTAGATCTACACTGTCTCTATCTAAAGATGCCCTGGCAGCAAAACATCGCAGATGTTTTTAAAAATATCGTGACAATATTGTTATCGAGAGTTGGGAAAAATATATCGAGATATTTATTTTTGCCCATATCGCCCACCCCTACAATCAACCTAAAGTAACAATGTCCATCCAAATCCCTAACAATAACAACTGACTTTTGATATTGTTCTATGCTTCTGGAAATACTGAGAATATCTGCACACAAAGATGAACAGTAATAACACAAAGAGGACATTGTTCACATATTGCCCATCAGTCTAACTTAATGTATGCCCAAACACACTCTGGAAAGGAGCAGTCTGAGGCAGCAAAAGATGAGTTTCCTCCCTGTGATCGTCCTGTCCCTCTCAGCTGCGCGAAAATCCGATGGAAACGCAATCACAATCAGTTAGGCTCCGGACAAGGACGGACACACACACACACACACACACACACACACACACACTAGTGCTCTCTATTGCATCGGCACGAGGGACGCCATGCAGAAAATTGTTTTGGACACGGTGATGAAGGAGAGAGAGGGAGAGAAGGGGTCCGCTGTAGTAAGTAAAGTAATAGGGAGGGGGAGTTTTAATTTACATATTTAATGCAAAATATCATTCAAAGCAGGAAAAGCCAGGCATCTCATTATACCATTTCTTTATTACAAGTAAGGCACCATGCGAAGGGCTGTCCAAGTGTAGAATGGACCTAAAATATTCCAAAACATGCAGGCGGTTGAAGTATCCCACTGAGCACTCTAGGTTAGAAATGGGGCTCAGACTTATTAAATCTTCAAGGAATAATCGTGCATGTCTTTCAAAGATTGAGTGGAGAGACTTTTTAGGGATTACTAGCAAATACAAACACATTTCATTGCTGTCTGAAAATACACAAAATTGCTCAACGATTTGATGCTTTAACTAACCGTGGGAACAGCACACACACAGGTGAAACTTGGAAAATTGCAAAATCGTTCAAAAGTCCACTTTCTTCTATAATTCAACTTCAAATGTGTTATAATGTTGAAAATTAAGCCTCACAACTTGTAAAAAAATCAAATTAAAACGTTTCAGAAAATTACAATATTTTGAAGATATAATACATAATCATCAACATTATAACAAACAAAGGTTTAGAAAATGTCACTCTACATTTAATGAGTTGAAATCATTTGCTTTATTTTGAATTACAGAAATAAATGAACTTTGAACAATATTCTATAATGCTTCGAGTTTCACCTGTGCATAGGTCCATATGATTTTGCTTTGTTTTGTTGGTTTGTGGTGCAGTGTTTCAATCCGTAGCACTTTCTGGAAAGGTAAGGTACAATATAATTTTTTTATTTATTACTATGATTATTATTATTTTCATATTCTAACAAGCTGTAGGTAGTGCAAAATTAATCACTATCAAATTGAAATCCCACTGCTATGGTCGCTATTAGCAAAGTGTAGATTTTTTTTTTGCAACACTTGAATTTGGGTAATTATACCTTTTGATATTAAGTATCGCTTTATCTCATATTTGTGATAATTCACATAAACTTTCAAATCTCAGGTCTGACGATGTTGTGAGAAAAGATAAAAACTGGTCTACCTAATTGTAGCATTTATAGATTTTTTTTTAACCAAAATAATGCATTGGAATTGGGTATTGGGTAATCACTTCATTCACTTTTTCAAACGTCAGATAAAAATGGCATATCAAAAACCACAAAGAAATCACTGCGTTGCAATCCCAATGATAAATACAGTATATACAAAATGATCCAGCCCCTCTTCATAGAATCCCTTTCTAACATTTTGTATCAACTTAAAAAAATGCACTATAATTTAAGGCCTTATTATCAATTATACCTAAAAAGCACAACTTGTTTTCAACAGCATTACCAGAGTGTAAACATTGCAGTGTGTTCTATGGCGGCTTTCAGCTCCGTCAAAGTAAAGGATGTACTGAAGCTCAAGCACTCTCTCCCAACTCCCAGACTCTGCCCAACATCTCTCCGTCAGCCATTTATTATGAAGAATTATTGCTATAAATGGTTGCCTATTTACACAGCCAGCAGAAATAGCAGATAACATTTGCATTCAGGTACGATTGGTGTCTTCGCAAACCTGATCATCGCAAGTACAATTTTAACCCTCCTCCCAGCTCTGTGAGGCAATAAAAACTCTCATTGTGCTCCCGGAACCAAGTCGGGCAGGTGGCACACAGGGTTTAATCAGAATTTGCATTTGTTTTGGTGACTTTTATGAATGAAGCTAATTATTACAGCCACACAAACAAGCCGCTAATGTACTCAAGCAATTTCTAATATTGTTGCCAAATTTTATATGAATAATCAACATCATTACAAAACAAACTTTCGTCAACTAAGCGAGGGGGGGATGAAGTACTGAGGTTATGCCAAAAAGAATATGCATAATTTAGAATGACATGGAACTAAGACACACGACATATTGCATAGATTTTTATCAGTAAGCGGTGAAATAGAATTCTTAACGCAGTAGTAGTAGTTGCAGTAGCAGAAGTAGCCTTGCCACAGAACACAACCGCAGAATTCACACCTATAGTAGCAAATTGTAAGTTTTGTTATGTTCCAACATTTCATCTCATATTTGAAACCTCTTCATGAGCACAGTACTCTTACCGAACTTGTTTTTGTCCATACATAATACAGTATTTCAAAAGTAAATTTTGTGAACAAACCTGTAAAGTCTTATTATTAATTATTCCAAAAAGGGAAACTCAATGAGAACAGCTTTTTAAGAGTGTAAGCCTTGCAGTGTGTTCTATTGCGGTTCTCAGCTTTGCCAAAGTATAGGATGCACTGAAACAAAAACAAAAAAATGTAACACCCAGAGCTGGATGAGTGGAGGGGGTCCTTTTATCACTTTCTTTCTGACAAAAAAACTGATCCAAACACGCAACAGAGGCAAAATGACATGCATGTGCAAACTACAGTTAGACCCAAACCCTAAATTGTACATTCAGATTATAATTTGAGCCAGTCCAATCACGCCACTATTAAACCCAGACTAGTGTCTTCAACAGCTCTTGCGTCTGTTAATTCCAGGCCCCACCAGACGGGACACTGGTTGCCCAAAGTGATGCCACATCTGAGGTCAGACCCAGTGACGCTCTCCGTCCTGCTGCGGGACTCTCCACAGGCCCCTAGTGGCCCGGCCTTGTCATAACGCATCAGATCGGAGACGAGCGAGGGGCACACGGCTGCACCACCTGCAAGAACACCGCTGGTCACGCCTCGGACGCCGTGTGTCTTTGAGAAGATCGCCTACATCTGGAGCCGACCAAACCCGGACTCCTGCAACATCTGCTAATGTTTGTGTGTTTGTGTGTGTGTGTGTGTGTGTGTGTGTGTGTGGACCACTGCGACAGATGCCCATGTCAACAGTGATTTCTGAATGTGCACTAAACACTACAAGTGCCACTGACGCACAGTTAATAGACCTCCCATCAGACGGACGGATTTGATGGATGACAAATTAGGTGAACGTGATTCGTGAGTTGATTTCAATATTGTCTTCAATGGAATGTCATATTTTTCTCGGCCTGGGAGCTACATTTTTACTTAAATATTTTGCTTCAGATGAATTGTCATTTTTAATCTGATTATATATCACTTTTTGTTTCATGTTTTCAATAATATGACTTGTTTGTCCCAACAAAAAGAGTCTTGTGAAAGTAAACTGGTGTAAATCAATCAGAACACAATATGCTGTCTTCACCTTATTGGATAATATTGTATCTTTTCAATATGTGTAATAAAGAGCCCTGGGAGTCACTATTTGATGCTTTGGGCTGAGAGCTGATTTGATGAGTGGTCCTCTGTTTTTCCCTTGTTTACATGAAAAATCAACTCTAAAGAAGGGACAGAGGCCAACTATATATGCATGTGAATCCTAGGCAGCGAACAATTCACAAGATGCATTGCATGGGTTTAAACGTTAGGTATGCCAGCTTCGATTAACAAGGAAAAAACCCAAACTACAGCAGTTCTTCAGAGAAAGGATCCCCACGCAACTCTAAAACATCACTGTATATATTTGAAACAGCTCTAAATCCCAACAGACACGTGTAATCTCTCCATCTGTCAAATTTGAGTGACATAGCAAGGCAACGACAAGTTCTAAAAACTTTGACCAAACTTGCTGTAATTTAGATTCCACATACCTTATCAGAAGCCTAAACCTTCCGGATTTGTGTCAGTACTGCGATGATAATAATCACTGCTAAAGAACGCCTTGTCAAAAAAAAAAAAAACTTGCAGTTTCTTAAAGTAATGCAGACACACGATCGGGAAGTGAAGCTGTCGTTGCCCTTCCTCTCCTCTGCTTTCTTTCCTGTCTCCTTTCATGCTGCTTTTTGTCCTTTGCGTGTTCCCTGCAGTTCTAGAAGGCTGAGACGCACTCCGAGGGGCCCTGATCACTACCCTGGACACACACCACACACACGCGCACACTCACACACATAAATAGCTTTCCATTGTGGAGCAGAAAGAAGAAAAAATCCTCAGAAGTGTGTCTGTCAAAATGAAATTGCTGTCTGCATTACCTGCCTTTGAAGGTATTGAAAACTCATTTTTACAATCGCTCTACAGGTGGCTATAGAACAGTCCTGGGTATGTCTATGCCGCCGTTTAGACCCTGTTTGGACTGCAGGGGGCTTTATTACCGTCAGCTGATGATTCTTCTTTAAATATCATGTGGTGTCATGAAAAAAAAGTTGAACCTAAACCTTGAATTCATTAAATGATTGATGTTTATGGCATTCATTGCTATGATTGGTCTTTCCACAGCTTTGGTCTGTATCATAATGTCACATCTGAGAAAAGAGAAGTTTAATACCGTATATTGGAACACACAAAATAGGGGAAAAAACAGTATGTATATATCGATGTGCAGCTCAGGAGTTGTCAAAATGATTACATCCATTGCAGCTCTTTTCTTTCACTCTAGTAATTACAGCAAGATGACAGCTGGAGTCACATACCCATTGTTTCTTAGTTTACAATTATCACAGCCATTTCTTGCATGCCTTTACTTTTAGACCCCATTATTTCCACCTCTTCATTATTATATTTGAATCGCCATGTCCACTGTGCATTTGTGCAGTTTGATGCCTGTCGTCAGCTCCCCTCCTGCTCCTGGGATAATCCTTACCTCTTTCTTTTCACTTCTTACTCTAAGCAAAGTCATTTCTCTCGGAGACCCCCCACCAGGCAAAAACAAACTGTCAAAAGCTAGCCAAACAATGACTCACTGCCACGCTCAAATGGGCCGCCTAAGAAAAGACAGGCGCACTCTCCCGCTGGGGAACATCAAGACGCGGGGAATGGACATAATGGCTTTCTGATAATTATTCATAAAGGTGACTTTTATTGCGAGCGGTGCTTAGCGGCGTGGGGGACTGAGTTAGTCACAACAACACGTGCAGAAGAACAGTATTAGGTCCAGCCTGAAGTAGACAAAGCATATTCACACAGTTTGCATAGATACCGACTCAGTGAAATCAATCATCGTAAGCCTCCAGTTGGATGTTTGCATGGATTTTATGTAATATTTTGTTGAGAAAATATGAGATCTTGTATATTGACAATTGGGCACTGCAGATGGAAATCCAACTCAATTAAATTTATTCTCGTATAGCCCTAAATCACAACAGTAGTTATCTCGAAAGACTTTCCAAACTGTTGAATTTGCCAACACACATCAGAGAATCAAACGGTTCAAACACTAAGAATAGAGAGAACTCAGGAATTTAATTTAGGGGCAGAATCTGACCTCCATGTCCTGGACTTTGGACCTCTGTTATATCTGTATTACTGCTAAACATTATTATCTCGAGAATTGAACGTATTTGCTCTGACCCACATTGCTGCTATATCTTAAGCATGCATCATTAATATCTGAAGTGATGACGTCTCTGTTCTTATGCACATAGATACACATCATATAAAATCTTTGTCTTGGTTTGTTCTTGAGAGAACTTGAAAATGAACTGTGTTGCAAATGCGATCAATGCTGCTTCTTTCTTCATCTCTTGACACAAGCCTCTTCAGAATTGGGAATCATTTTGATTTTCTTTGATATGACTGTCCTAATTTGACATCACCTTGAAAGCCATGGAAACTATGGTATATTAAGATTAAGAGATCCTTTATCCGTCCAAAAGTGGGGAAATTTCAGAACTGGGGTACCCATTAAACACTAGTAATTGTATATCTCCTCTTTGTATAAGAAAAAGCAACATAATTCTCAAAGGCAGATCCAAAACTGTATAATTTGCAATCGCTAAATCTCACTCTCAAGTCAATGCCTGCCAACTCTTGCCGCTAACCGTTTCTCTTGAGAGAGTTTTGTTTCAAACCAAAGTTTCTTCACTTATTGTGTTGAATTTATGTTTCAAAGACTACTACTGTTCCATGTACAATGAAAACAGTGTAGGATAATTATGTAATGAGCCAATTAATCATTTATTCACCTCCCACAAAATGATTATTGACCCATGACACTTAAACCAAACAGTGAGGGGGACAGAGTTAGTCACAACACCACAGGCAGGCGATAGACATTATGGTTAGACAAACACACACACACACACACACACACACACACTCACACAGCAGTACTCCAGCTCATTGTTTCAATTAGCAGCAAAGGACAGCCATGCCTCCCATCTGGGGTTAGCATTCACGCGGACACGGACAGAGTGACAGGCAGGCTTGAAGGACCTCCATGCTGATTTATTTGGACTGATTAAAAGGGCAGGCAGAAGCAGAAATTATGCATTTTGGCAAGCTTTTTCCAACCAACTAACAAGAAATAAATAAGATCACCTCTGGAACTCAGAACCCAACAACTCAAGCATGTCCACAAATTAAACTGAATTAATTGGGTTTGCTGTATGAAGGATATCTCGCCATGGTAACCGCTTTTTTCCCACAAACTGTATATGTAGAATACCTGTATACATAAAAAGCCCCATAAGGATATTTTCCCTCTGAATTTGAACCAATTATCCAACAGCTCTGACCTCTGCCAATACCAGGGTCCAATGTCCAGATGTTGTTGCTTGGCTTGGTCAGGCTGGAGGATATGGCGCTTCCATGTTTCCAACTTTGATCTCTTACACACAACTTCTTCATGACATGTCGTTTGAGTGATTGAAATAATGGGTGAAATCACAAGACGAAAAATCACACTTATTTTTCTCCTTCCAAAATTCATTCCACTATTGTCACAGAAACGCTAGTCTCCAAAGTTTCCTGTCACAATTCCCCTTTGGCTGAACGCTTACATAACACAGTTTTCTTGTTTTCCTCCCATCGCTTCTTTTTCGCTCGTACATTTTGCCTGAACCCAGTTTTGTTTACGAAAATTATCATCACTTTTTTGCCTCACAACAACAGCAACTGCCTCAGCTGTCCCGTAGGACCTCCTCCACTCAGCAAGGCGGGGACGCATCGCCCTATTCTATCATGATTCCTCCCTCGAGATGCAGACATAACTCATCCATTTCCATCTCAAAGTATTTATCCCATCTCTTGATTCTCAACGCTCCTGCATGGAAGTCCTTAAAGGGGAAATACGATCAATAAAAATAGCAAAGGACAAAGTAGATTTTCGGTAGCGTTCACCCTCACACCCTGCTCCTTTGCGCTGTTCTTTCGGGCTGGTGCAGGCAAGTAATCCCATTAGGATCAATATTCCAGGCGAGTGAGCATCCTTTCGCTGCGGCAATTACAAACCTTTAGAGACATAAAGGAGAGCATTTCTTCACAGCTTAGGCCATCAATCAACTATTTAGCTTCAGAGAGCCCGAGGATGTAGCACGTAAGGGCAACAAGATTCTGTGTGCGCGTGCGTCGATTCCAGAGCATGGCGCGTTGTTTTGTCTGCGCGCTTAACGACGGCTGGGATTTGGGGTCGTGCGAGATTCTATTACGGCACTATGAATATACGACAATGCGTTGTTAATGTGTAGCGCCATGTACAGAAGATAGAGTTGTGAGGAGAGTTGGAGTAGTGCTGGCGGCTTTGGTGAGGTACTTGAAAACGTCTTTTGATTGTAAATGTGAATTATGGCATTGCGCCCTAACAGCATAATTCCAAAAGATTAAGAAATGCACAAGACCATACTGTAAACGTTTAAACAATCTTTGAAAATATCTGCATTTGGGATACAGAAAAGAGCAATATTTTATAGTCTTGCTTCAGTCAAAAGAGGAACAAATTATTCCCTTTTGTCTCTTTTGTACAATAGCCAAACAGCATGAGTTTTGACCATGTATAAAAATAGCATTTACACCGTTCACAAA